TGTTTTTTGACTATTTTATTAAAGAGCATCTTTTAATTTATTTCAATATCATTTATTTAAAATAATTGAATACTTTTAATACTTGAGGAAAATATGAAATTGTCTGACGTGAAGTCATTTATTTCATAAACAATCATATTTAAGAAGTAGTATGCGAAGTTGATTAATTAAAGGAAAAACTTTACTATGTAAATCCAGCTTTACAAAATGATTTTTCTTATAGGTTTCGAAGCGTTAGTAATACATTCCTTACGACAGCCTACGCTCTAATTATTATCTTGCAATAAATTAATTCTTTCTCGGAATATTTATGATTTAATATATTTATAATGTTCAAAAGTGAAAAAAAAATCCAACGGATCTCGGAAAAGCAAAAATTAAGGCATTCTAACTGTTTCACACATTGTTGCGATGATACTATTCTCTCTTTCTCTTCATTCCATGGCTTGGGTAGATTAATGTTGTCTCCTGCTGGACCGCCATATATTTTTAGAAGTATTTTCACGCGGCCTGTGTGGGGGTGATTTGTACAGCGGATGTACATTCAGACGTATGGGGGGCGTACAAAACGACAGAACGTTATCGGATGATAGCAACACCATTGACCCAATCGTGCTTTTCTGATGATTCCTCGCTGACAGAACGTTCAGGATCCGCAGAATTTTAGGATTACAATTTCTGAGACTCTGACAATTTTTCCGTTGACATCATCTTGATCATCGTTTTCTTCGTACAGTTTTTGTGCTATATTGTATTCTTATTTCTGTATAGCTTCTTAAAGCATTATTTTAGTTTTTAATTATTAATCTTAATATTCAAGGGTAATTATCAGATTATTCTAGAAATAGCGTGAATATTTCAAAAAATTTCATTAGAAAGTTAGTCGGTAAAATGAGAACTCTGATGAGGGAAATCAATAAAATTAGTATGTATACACAGGGTGGTCCATGCAACTAGAACAAGTCACACCTCTTTTCTGACTGCAATTAGAAAACAACATTAGAGGAAAAAGGTAAATTGTTCAAAAAGGAGATATCTTTTTTGCAAATGCAACGATGCATGTGTATTTTACAGTTGTACCATTTTTTGAAATGGAAATGTATTTTTTTTTGCATAGATCAAATCGTCTCGCCATTTTATCGTAATAAAGTATTTGAATAAAGATGTTGAAAAATAATTATTTCTAGAGATATTTTAAATAAATATCTTCATTAAGGAAGCTCAAACGCTTCATCGTTTACAATATTGCCATTTTGATAATGTAGTCCTCTTTGAACCATTCACGTTTCTATTCAACATTTTTTTCTAATTGCAATAAAAAAATAGGTATGACCATACCTTGTGCGTGCGTGTGTATGTGTATTTATTTATTTATGACTAATAATTATAAATAAATCAATGCATTTCATTCTTCTTAAAAGGACCAAAGTGTATTCGAATTATATGTATACAGGGTATTTCAGTTAAGACCGAACATTTAAATATATCCTTTGTTTTTAACGATATTAGAAATGTTTAGGAAAATGTCGAAGGAAAATTTCCTTTTTACGGTTATTTTTTTCGAATTTTTTGCAAGATAATCGGTATTTATGATCTTGAGATGAGTTTGAATACCAAAAAAATGATCAAATTCCAAGAGAACGCTAGTATGGTACGTGGACTTACTTTTTACGTTATAAATGCTCAAAGTGATGTCTATCAGCGGTGATACATTACCTGAAACGAGGGCTCATGTACTGTGATGCTGTATCAATTTTTTTCTGGAGCAATATCTGTAGTATTTTCGTAAACGTAATTCACATTCAGTATCTACCGACAGCAATTTGCCACTCCAGATGACACGGTGAATCGCATAATTAAAGTTAGTGCTGTTATCACGCGAGGAACAATTGAAGGAGCATCATAATTCGGGATTGCTCGTTTTAGAAAGTGTATCGCTGTCGATGTACATCACTTTGAGCATTTGTAACGTAAAAAAGTAAGTTTGCATATTACTCTAACATTGTCTCAGAGTATTATTATTTCTTCAATGTTCGAGGTCAGCTCAAGGACATCAGTTAGGTATATATGAATCCATCTTAACACGTGTCACAAGATGGAACAAAAAAGATTATATGCCTTCTGGCAACAAAATTCCGATAATCACGAAAAAGATTCGAGAAAAATTGTGATAAAAAAAATTTTCTATTTACGATACTCCTCTTTCGAAACCATTAAAACTGCGTTTGAAACATTTCTGGTAACGTTAAAAATAAAGAAGACATTTAGGTGCTCGGTCTTAGCCGAAGTGTAATTTTGAATCGTATCTGCGGCACGCATAAAATGAAATGTACATTCTAAACTATGTATGTACGAGTAAGAATGTTCATAATTCCAAGTAGAATGACATGAAGTTCATCTTACAGGTTAATTTAATGAAAAAAAAAAAAAAAACTATTTAGGTACAGAATAATAGAACAATGTTTAAAAGGGTGCTTTTTTTCTTTGTGAAAAATTCAAAATCTAATTATTATTTACGAGTAAAGGGGGGAAAAAGCGCTCGCTCGGGGAAAGGAATTTTAAAATAAAAGCGCCTTTTTTTTTTCTAATGTAA